AATTTCCATTAGTGCCACGAGCAATTCTTGATCTAATGCAAGCTCACTAATTCAAACGCAGGTTCCGTTATTTTTGGGGCTAGCGCTAATTAATTAATTGAAATAAATTATGAATTTGACGTTTCTTAATTACTCAATTTTAATTGCACTTCTGTTCAATTACTTCTAACGTGAAAAATAATTATAAAAGAACATTCTTTTAACAAATTTTTTTGCTCAAACCCGGATTATTTGAAAAAATTGCATCTCAGTAGTTTATATTTCTCTGAAGTTTTATTATTTGATTATCTGATATTAAAAGCAAAGGTTAAAAAATTTAATATTACATGAATGTGATGGTGAAAATATTTTCAAAACAATAGAACAATTATAGAACAAAACGTTTTTACTCCAATTTTATTACATTATCATTAACATATAAAGTGGAACCACCAGTTAAAAAGATGCATTTTTCCATAATTTAAATAAACGAATCGATATTATTTTACGCAAATCAATTTAATGTTACTGCTAATAAGTAAAAATATATGAAGTCATGCAAAATTATAAAAGAAACTTCTCTCGAATATTTAGTTGGGTATATTTACAAACATTTACAACCACTTGAAAAATGCTCAAGAAAAGGAAATATAATTTTTAGAAATTTAAATTGTCCAATTAATATTTGGCATACTAAAACATTGATGAATTGGTTAAAACAATAAATAATTATTGAAAATCCAGATTTAGCAATTAAATAACGCTGCGTCTGCTTATCAGCCTATTTAAAAACCACGATCTGTGCCAAAGACCTTGCAGAAAAAAGGTCAAGTATGTGGGCGCCAATTAACACCAACATTGCTGAATCATCATCATCATCCTATTTCCTATTAATTCAGTTCCGCTTGTTGCCGAAAGCGAATCTCGTGAGAAACAAGACGCAGATGATGGCGGTGGGAAGCTGAAAGAAAGAAAGAGTTGGACACGCGATTTGTTGAGAGAGAGACGCACATGGCGTTGGCCCACTGGCCCCCTTGTCGCTGGAGCTGCCAACAATTAGGCTCCGCGTTTAAGCTGTTCACTGTCGCTTCGGTCTCTTCTGCCGGTGAGCTCAATCGAGATGTGATAGATGGATGCGAGCGAGAAGAAAGTGCGAGTCGCTCGTCGTGCGCTAATTGGATCGAGATGACTTTTTCTCTTGCTTAACGAGCAAATACATATTCAATGAGTGACGCGAGTTTTTAGACCAGATTTTTTTCTTGCACCAGACTGTAATGAACTTTTAAAGCGCTTGTCTAGCGATTATTTGAACAACTTTCCGCGGCACCAGGCGGAAATAAATTGTAAAGTTATATCTCGGCTCAAAAATGAGTATTGATCTTCAGTCTGATTTGGGGGTAAGTGCGTCAGAGTCTAAAAGTTTTGCCTCTTTGCCCGCGGGAGGGAGAAATGTGGTAATTAATTTTGGGCGTCCCATCGGCATGCAAAAAGTTTTGCTTCTAGAACAAATAATTAAAAGCACTACTAATTTAAATTTGCAAGTCTGTAGGCTTTTGTTTGGGATACAGAATTTCTGTGTGAAAATTTGAGCTTGATTTCCCTAAAAAATTCTGAATTTTTATTTGTTGGAAGAATAATTTATTTGTTAATCATTTTACGTTTAAACTCATCATAAATTTTAATCTAGGTTATTACAGATATGAGATATGCAATGCACCATCTATAATAATTATTTCTTATTCATTAATAATAAAATGGAAATAACCAGTTGTTTTTTTAATCAACACGTGCTGAATTGCAATTATAAACAAAAATTGGTCAAGCTTGTAGCTATTCAAAATTCTATTTGAAACCTGAAAGTGAGATCATTTAGTGGAATTAATTCCGACATTCTTTGCACGACCTTTGCCTAGTCACCGACAAATTAAAATGCAAATGAATTTTCGCATCCGTGATTCCTGCCTCTGAAACCTCGACGCACATTTGCAAAAAGTGGCGCTACCCTGAAAATAGAAACCAAGGGCGGCGGAGCGCATGCCTTATTCATCTACCCATCTCATTTTCTCCGACTCTCCCGCGGGATTTGCATACAATCCTAACAAACATCCTGGCGACGCATTTGAACTTGGAATGTTTTCGCCGCTGCTACTCACCTCCAAATCAGTCTTAATTTAACGCTCGTCGACCGCATTACTTATTATTCAAGTTCATGATCTGGTGAACCATTTCTTCAGGTCTAACAAAGTGGCACCGCCGCAGAGGCATGTTAATGAACGGAGCTTCAAAAAGAGAAACTGGCAAAGAATTTGTCAGATAAAAGCGTGCTGCTCCAGATTGCCTGTACAAATAATCGGTGATTGCCTCAAATATTTCTCGAGTGTTTGTGCTCCTGAGGAAACGTGCAAGTGGTCTTTCATCTACTTTATCGTTTTGGCCTTGGTTTTTAACAGTGAAATGGGACAAAAGTAACAGATTTTATATTGAAAGGAAAGTCACTTTAATTTAACAAGCCGCTTTCAAGTTATATCTTTATTTTTTACTGTTGTATATTCTACCCTTTGTTTTTAATTTTTTTTTATCGCTGTTTTGTTTTATTTTGTTCACTATTTTGATATAATTCAGACTTTGAATTGTGAGTTATATAGAATATTGAGGATTTTTAAATTTGGGTGTTGGGCCAAATAAAATTATCAAAATACGTCCGTAGTATTACATTATATTATTCGAGATGGTCTAAAAGAAGTATCAATAATTCAATAAATATATTAAATAAATCAAGAGTCATGATCTGAAAAAAAAAATAGCTACGAGAAGAATTTTTTTTATAATAAATAAAGTTTTGTGCTTCATTTTTAAGAATTCCGCAAGTATAATAATCCGTAGTAATTAAAAAAAGAACTCAATCGTATCCGTTTACTCTGACAATCAAAACTCTCCTGCAGAACTAGAATAGCAAAAAAACGCCAACACAAATGTTTTAGAAGTTATAAAAGTTATCACTCGTAATTGTTAGAAAGGGAAAAACGGCTGTCAAACTAAATTTTTCCTCGCTCCGTGGGAATAAACTCACTTTTATGCCACCTTCATTCTCAGTATATAATTTATGTGTCCTTGCATTAATTAGCATCGCATTCTAAATTGAGCGCGGTCATGCAAATTACGCTCTAATTGAGCAGTCTCTTGGGATACAACATAAAAGCAAATTTGGGAGGAGATGCTCCAGCAGCAATCGTGGCAGTGAAAGTGAAGACTGTTCAAAACTTTGGCCTGCGAAACATATTGTGCAGTCAGCGGAAGTTGGCTGCCCTTTACCTATCGCCTAACCAATCTGGATATGAGCGGTGGATAAACCTGAAGAGAATTTATAAACACTTGTTATCACCCGAGCGCTGATTCTTCAGCGCTGAGCTGAAATAGAATCATAAAAGTTAGTGAAGTTTGTTGATGAATTAAAATTATAAAAAAATTAAATGTTGTAAATGTTTAAAGAAATCTACTGTTTATTATTAATTATGATGATTGTAAATAAATTGAACTGATTGTGTGTTATAATATAAATACTGTTAAATCTCTTATTTTTCAAGATAAGAATGAATTTTTTTACATGAAGTCCTGTCATTACTTTTATGAAATATAGAGTATCAGATCCAAAATTAGCACGATTGTTAGATTTTATTGGATTCTACAATTTGAATTATTCTTTAAAGGAAAATCAATGATATTTTTTGTTATTTTAGTTTAAAAACCATGGATTACATTTTAATTAATGTCTATCGCGTTGATTGGCTTCCAATGAAAGATTTTTGGAAATTTTTTTTTCGCCTTTTCGCGTTTTGATGCTAACATGTTGCGAATTTGGCTGGCGCTTCACTTCAATTCTTGGAGCGAAATCGCGTAATCTGTGCTCTCTTGCATTAAAATTAATGCGACTGAAGTCATAGGCGCACGCATCGGGTGAAATCTTTCCTGGTTAATCCTCGCATTTGTTTTGTACGTATAAAGTAGCGATTACAAGTGCGGTTGTGCCCGTGTTGGTGCGCTCATGGAATTATTAATTGGGCAATTCGCGCGTGTACGCCTCTTGGACTAGAGCAGATTACAGAAGCAAAGACCGATTACGGCGCTGGAATTTAATCACGCCACCGTGTTATTTTGCGCCATTGTTATTTCTCTAGTGGCCCGTCGTCCTCTATATTTTATTCATATATACGCGAGTAATTTTTGCCATCATGCATAAATCAGTCGCCGTCGCCACACAACACCGTCGGAGCAGTGTAGCGTGCAATTTCGCACAGTTAATTGAACGCCATTAATAACGACCTTTGTTTAATTATCTGCAGGTATTGCGTAATTGCTCAATTAAACGGCGCCATTCAAAATTTATTGTCTTTTCTTGTGTACATTACTAGCGAAACAATAAACTTTTTGCTCTTGTGCAACGCTTGTTGTTGTTGTTTCGGGAAAAACAATTACGCGCCTTCTCCAGACATTGCGTGAATGTAATATATGTATATTATAATGAGCAAAAGCACTCGCTCTTTAGTAACCGTACACATAAGATTAAACAAAGAAAATATAGCACGTGGTAGAATATAATAAGTAGTGTGGAACAATTAAATACTTATTCCCAGAATGGGCTAAATATTTACGACTACGCCGACTACAGTATTCTAAGCAGAAGCACTTTGTTTTTGTTGTTATATTAATATTAGTTTCTGAAGAAGAAAAAACAGTAATATTCTTGCATTTTAGTTATTATTATAATTCAAATATATTTGCTTTCTTTGTAATTACCTAACTAAAAGTAGACTATTCACTTCTTTAGAATGAGAATTTACAAATTTAATATGTTGAAAAACAAAATGTGGAAGGACTAATTTAATGAGTTATACTAAAATTTTGTTGTTTTCAGCATTTATTTATTATTTAATTTTATTATATTTATTATTACAATTACTACAATCTACTTTTGTATCCAATAATTAATATAACCAATTAAAATTTTAATTTGCTGTTCACAGATGGGCCGTGTCAACTGTGATGACTCGCCAAAATTTTGTTGTCAGCTCAGATGGCAAGAGCATCGTCAACGCACTCATACCTCTTTGGGATCTCTGCAACCATGAGCAAGGACGAGTAAGTAATTTCAAAATAAACTTTTCACCTCTAACTTTGTATTGCTGTTGGGATATTGAAAGAAAATTAATAATTTGCAATTTCATTTCACGTTTCTCAACATCACATAATACTCATTTCTGCACAATATTGAAGCGCTAATTTTGAAATCCTTGGATAAAGTATATATTGTTTTCTGGAACTAGTTTAAAAGTTTATCATTTGTTTTCAGCTTTCAACAGACTTTGTGCCTGAAAAGGATAGAAGCGAGTGTTTAGCCTGGCGGAGTTTTCCAAAAGGAGAGCAGATTTTCATATTTTACGGAGCACGGCCCAACGCAGAGTTTCTCGTACACAATGGATTTGTGCCATCGGACAACTCACACGACACCCTCGCCATCCGCCTTGGAATCAGTCACGCTGATCCCTTGGGTGACAAAAAAAGGACCTTGCTGAATACGCTTGCTCTGCCCTGCAGCGGCGAATTTCTACTTCATGCTGGACCTGAACCTGTTGATGCCAAACTTAGAGCCTTTTTGAGAGTATTTTCAATGACCGATGGTGATTTTATTGCATGACAATCGTCAATCCTTCTAATTCCTTGCCATCTTTTGCAGAACTTGACCACTGGTTATCAAAGCAAGATGGTGGCAAAGATTTGGAGTACGTCGACTGCGCCTTGGACACAAACTTGGAGTCGAGGGCATGGACATTCCTGAAAACAAGAGTGACACTTCTTTTGGCCTCCTACTCTACATCTTTACAGGTAATTAAATTACTTCCAGGCTTCGTCATTGCTACAAAATGATTTTTTTACTTATGAAGCAACTAATTTGATCAAATTATATTAATTATTGAAAATTTATGCTCTAGGAGGATGAGATTTTGCTTCAGTCAAGAGGAATAAACCCATACAAGAGACTGGCAGTTCAACAGCGACTTGCTGAAAAGAAAATCCTGCACTCAACTTTGAATTATGCACAACAAAGGCTCATCCAGTGATCATTTAAAAGAAAGAAAAAATATCACATAACTTGTCTTAACTTACCTCTGTTACAACTCACCAGCTATTCATGTTTTGTTTTGTTATGTTGTGCCGTTGTTGTTGCTTTTTTGCCAAGTATTATTTGTTCTAACTTTTTAGTTTCTCTTTGTGAATTAGAGGGCATTTAATTAGTTTTTATTTGACCGAATAGCAAAGATAATGACTAACTTGTAATTTTATTTCCTTTGTTTTGCCATAAATTATGCCAAGAGGACATATCATCACAACATAATTATGTACTATTGATTGTGATATTAATTTGATTGTATATTTTGCAAATCCTTGTTTAAATAATACAATCAAAGCAGTTTTTAGTACCCTACCCCCTTTCTGCATCATTTGAGCATTTTAGACCAATTCTAATGATTTTCGATTAAGGTAAAAATTTTATCTCTGCTTTGTTAACTTTTGCACACATTAGAAATAGGAACACCAACTTATCTGTGAGGTATAGTTCCGGAGTAAAGATAATCTGAGCTCTAACAATAGGGTAATAATAAGTAATTCTTTTTTCTTCGTGCAGTCCATTTTACCCTGAAAATCTATATCGCTTGTTAACTTTTGATACTTTTCTGCTCAGCTTCCAACTACTGGCACTTGTACTTAACATTTCTTGAATGAGGAATAATATCAATTAACTGCATTATAAATAGAAAACTATGTGTCACGACTTGAAAGTGAGGTATCTGATGAATAAATAATGATATTGTATGAAAGCAATTTTAATTTGATAAACACATTAATTCATTATATTATCATCCTAATTGTAAGATCGAATTGAACTATAAGAGATTGCATAATTTGTTATTGGTGCACAAATGAAATTTATTTCCATTTCTATCGTCCAAGAAATTAATTTACAAATTTCAATTAAAGCTGTTTGATATCATTGTGAGAAAAAAAATGACGATTAGTGTGAAAAGTAAAGTGCGTAATTATGGGTTTAAATTATGAAACAAAGCACAGACTATGGAGTATATAGTGTAACATGAAATGTGAAGTTTTTTGCACATCTACTGAAGAAGCAATATTCTACATACGTAAAAATATTAGAAAATAATTTATTTCCAAATTTTTTAAGACCATGTAAACACAGCCAATTGCAAACCAAAAATTGTGCATGAATTGATTTATTTTTAGGATGAATATTTTATTGGGGGGAAAATGAAAGGATAGACTTATGCAAAAGAATGGAAAGGAAGGTTAAAGTTATGGAGAATTGCACAGTTAAACACTGTGCAACCTGATCACTTCCCTGCTGAAGAACATCCAGGCTGGCATAGTTAGCCTGAAAACCTCGACCGTGTCAGTCGACTTGCTGAACCATGGATCATATACCTTCTCCATTGGTTGGAAAGCTTTATCCAAGAGCACACTTGAGAAGGCATATACCTAAAATTATTCATTTACAAATTGAAGATTTACGAAAATCTAAATTAATTATAGCCAACCTTAATGTGGACAGCTCCACTGTGTTCATTGACCTCAGAAACAGCAACCTTGTTCACAACCAGCTTCTGGTTTTCCTGCACGCAGAACATCGTACTTCCAGGAAAGTAGCCTTTGAGCATCTCGAAACTCTCCTTGCTAGCAAAGAGGTCATCAGTTGTAGGCTGAAAGACCATGTGTCCTGGCAAAGCGATCCTATCCACCTCACTTATTACACTCGTCGGACTAATGTGAGTGTGGAGGAACTCAAATTTAATTTCACAGTACTGAGGAAATTTGTTGAGAAAGTGCAACGACTTCGTCTCGGAGCGTTGCCTGTGGAAAAGCACAAAAGTGCCAACTCTGCTGGTACTGGAAAATGGCCCTTCAAACTTGAATGGCTCCATTTCGTAAACACTTAGTTTGGGCAATATGCGCCAACTGTCCGACAGGATACGAAAGTACACTCGCGAGGTTAACTGAGGATAGCTCACTGGCGGAGGAAGAGCTGCAAAAGGGGTTAAATTAGCATAAATTTGGTGGAAACAACCTCCTTGTGATAAAATGACAACAGGGTTGTCCTCATTGAAATTTTTATTAGGGCGTTAAAACTAGAGATAATTTAAAACAACCTGAAAAACGTATTAAAGAAACGATTATAAAATATACTAAAGAAAAATACAACACTTTGAATCAAAACATGAAATTTATTCAATGAGGATAAGCCTATTTTCATTTCATCATGAAGGATGTAGAATATCCAATTTTTTGCCATACATAAATACACTTATACGAAGATTCATTTTAATTTTTCACTGAAGCATGATCGACAATTTGATACATGAATGTATCACCTGTCAAGGAACTTCAGGTATTGGAATATAACATACTTTACCAAAAACTGTGAGGTCCATAGTAAAGTACTTTACGCATAACGTTATGCGTTATGATTATGAGATAAATAAGAGCATTTTATAACTTTTATCGTCATAATAATCAACGTATTGTTATGATTTTCTCCACCTGCAGCAGCATTTTTGCAAATTGTAACATCTGCACTGACAACAGTCAGTCCTTGTCTGTTACACAAATTCAGTGGTTGCTGGTACGTGTTGAACGAGGGTATAGGCACCTGGCCGCATGGCCATTGGTTTTGAAGTTCATTTGGCGCTGGGCCAACAGTCTGTGTGTAGGGTGCAGTCACAGAAACTGCAGTAGCAATGTTCAGAGCAGGTGGAATAAGGAGTGATTGCTGCAAAACTGGCTTGGTAGAGAGTACGCTGACCTCCTGGGTTTCAAAAACCAACTTTTCTGTTGGTAAGGGTTGAACCTCTTTCCTGTTGTTCACATATGACAGCACCTAGATTATTCAGTAATTTAATATTTATATTTTAATAGAGTTGAGCAAACCTCGATGTCATCCGATGCAGAATCATCACATTTCTCAATACCAGCTTCAAAGCACGCCTGTTCTAAAATATTCATTTTTCTAGGGGAACCATCAGTCTGATCCTCTACTGCTAGATCGGAGTCAGTTTGCTCCAACAAAAACTCTGGAATTGAAGGCTCCCAATGGTCTCTGGGTGCGTCAGTTTTAGAACTAGGTTCTGATTCTTGTTTTACAATTTTTGTTCCAGCCCAGTCAAATTTTCTCTTCTTGAAAGGTAGACAGTTGTCAGGAAGGCTGTCCAAGCTAGAATTGGCTGGTGTGTAGGTGTTCTCAAAAGATAGGTCAAGGCAACAAGCAGTGCCCCCGGAAGGGCTTTCTACAGGGTCTTCCTTGCTGACCACATGAGACGACCAACAGGCACTCTCGGAACTCTGGTTCACATTCAATCCAATTTAATAATAGTTTTTTTTTAAAAATTTATACCTTCTTTATACGAAGTTTGCTTATCTTCTTTTCAAGTGTCCATTCTGGCGAAGGAGGCGCCTCAAGGCAAGTGTTTGTTGAAAAACTGCTATAATTGGGGTCAAATCCTGGAAAAGGTTTTTCCCAGTCCAACTTTTGTATTGCACTGTCAACCGAATGCAGTGTGTCTGGCATCTGCAATTAAGAATTTCGAGCATTGAAATCTCCACAGCAATGGCAACCACATATATGTATATTGAGCAATAAAATTTTTTACCTTATTGTATAGCTTTTTGTAATTCTTGTAGACCTTCTGCGTTTTCTTCATCAACTGAGGCGTACTCCTCTTCAACTTTGGTTTCCGGCCTCTCTTCTTAGGGCCTTCCGTCAACGTCCCAGAATAAGCAGGATAAGTTGATGCACTTTTCTGGGCAAGCTGAAGGAGGCAATTAGCTGCCTCTTGTTCCTCGGCTCCCATCTGCTAAATTCATAAAATAAAATGATGAGACTGAACTATGTGATACTTTGAAATTTGTTGCAAATTATAAAAAGGAGAATGTTGTATGTTGTGTGATGATATGATTTAGATTTACATGAATTTCATGTGTGCATAAGTATAACTATAAAACGTGGCATGCTCAAACTTGTTGGAAAATGATGAGTGCGACACATTTCATTTTTTTTTTAACAATTTAAATTAAAAGTTTGACATTTCGAGCATCACTAAATCCACACAGGCTTATTCGCAAAATATTCAAATGCATTATCTAACAATAATCGAAACAACAATCTTGAACAAAAGAAAACTGAGGTTATAATGATAAAACTTTAAAAGAAACACACAAAATTTCACAATTTTTTAGAGTAGCACATGGATGTAGCAGACATACAAATTACGCCCTATTGAAATCCTTTGATTCAGGGAATAAATGATAAAGGACAGGAGAATAATATACACCAAAATTAAGAGAAGAGCTAAAATTGATAGAGTAGCATGCGACGCGAAATCTATCTAGAGTGATGATGACAACATTCTTGATACATATATTGCCACAAAAGTTATCTGCTAGGTATGCAATATATTTTTGATAAGTAATAATTCAAATTTGGCTGAACAGTCCTATTTTTAAATATCAAATAAGATTCAAGATCGTGTTGTACATAAAATCTTATTATGATCTCTGTTTAATTCACCGATAAAATGTTCTTACCTGGTTCATCATTACTTCTTGACGTTTCTTACGCGGCATGATGTGCTCAGTGCTGAGTGCACGGCTTTGGCTTCTACGTTTGAAATAGTGCGTCGTGTGTATGAATGCAGAGCACGTGAATTGGTCCCTTGTTTGCCGCCTGCAATAAAATGCGAAAGGTCAGTAGTACACTGGGCACTGGGTTGCGGAAAATTTTGAAATCCAGTCCAGACATGATACAAAATGCAAAGAATCTACAACGTGACGAATGGGATAGGCGACAACTTGTTGAGCCAAAACTGATTGCATTTTTCTGCTTAACAGAATCTAAATTTTGCCACCATACAAATCGGCCGCGTGGTAATGGAAATTAGTTGTAATAATATAACTTATAAGTAATAAGTTAATAATATTTAGGTCTCATAAAAATGAACATTTAACTTCTATCAACAAACCGACAAAAACAAAAACCCTGAATTATCAGAAATGAACACGATTATTGATTATTGCTAATAATATGCAAGTCGACTGTCAACTTGTCGAGTCGGTGAGATTGATGAGAAATTGAGAAGAAATCGAGATGTTAGGTTGGTGGAGATGGGGAGCGAGGAGAGAGGCGGAGTCAGAAAAATGATTAAATAGTTTATTAAGCAAAAATTGACAAAAGTGTTTCAATAAATTGCCTAGCAACTGTAGCAAGCCATGATTCTTCAACATTGTGCAAACTAGCAAAATGTCACATTTTCCTGAATTTTCCATCATAGAAGTATCAATTGTAGATTTAGTTTTAATTATCAAATCTATAAAAAAAAAACATACTGGCCACATAATAAGTAGCGTTCAATACCATCGATTGTTTAAAATTTTAATGAACCTACTGGAGCCAAACTTATTTATTTATTTCAATGAATATTATACAAAATTATTAAAAATAAAACATCACCAAAAACTAATTAATTTTGTTAGCAAATGCCAAAAAACACCATAAATAAAAATTCATCAAAAATATTTATTTAGCATTCAATTTAATTAGTTCAATTGATATGATGAAAACTTCATACTTAAAGTAATAAAAATTAATGGTGAAGATACCGTAAACATACGTTTATTATGTTCGATGGCAGGGCAACTGCGCCGTAAATAACACTCCCATCAAAAATACAAAGAAAAGAATAAATCAAATTAATTATGACTGTATGGTGATGCGTTCGGTATGCAAATTGTTTTATCTTGAATAAAAATCCTAGATGTTTTCCTTCAAGTTAGAAAACTTTTATGCAAACTTTTTGCATCATTTAATCAAAAGAAATTAATTACAAATTACACTAAACTTATGCGTGTCAAGTGAAAATATTTGTTGCATTATATTTTATTTAGTTACATTTGCATTTATTGAGTTTTGCATTTTTTTGTTTGATGCACTCGTGAAATAAAAAAAGCATGAAATAATATCAGAAAAGAAGGTGGAAGAAAACAACACAGGTCATATAATAATTACTGTCGGAAAACAAACGCAAACACAGCACATCATGGAATTGATGGAATTTCGAGAGTCTGGGTCTGGAATGTTCAAAGTTCGAAGGTTTCAGCCTACCCTGCTTTGTTTCTTTACCATTCCGTTGCAAGAATGTCGCAGCAAAACCAATTGAGACACGTTTTCGCCACAAAATCTTTCTTCTCTCCTCATGAACTACACGAATAGTCTCAAAAAAGAAAGTTAATCATGCAACGGCCGAACGGCCGGGCCAGGAGGCACAAGAAAGGAGGTGCTCGTGACTCGTGACTCGTGACGTGTGATGCCGTCTGTCTGGGTGTCTGGGTCTGTTCTCGTCTGATTTGTTTGAAAGAGTGATCGCCATTTTCATGGTCGAACATTTTGCACATTAAAATTCGTTTCGTTATTTCAAACGGAACATTCAGTTAAAAGGTGAGGTTTACCATTGCATTTTGCAGGTAAATAATTTAAATTCATATTCTTTGGTGAGATACAAGCAAGTTTTGTTGGAATTTTATCCAACGACATGATCAATCGGCACATTTTTCTCGCTGATTTATTTGCTTCCATGATGTTATTGTTTTGTTTGAAATTTTAAATTATCGTTTTATTTCTTGCAGATCATCCAAATTAAAGATAGCGATTGTATATCTTAATAATTTTCATATTTTTATTAGTTGCTTTCACCGCAATAATATAAAACTTCTATGAAATTTACATTAGGTATTTTTAATCCTATTCAATGTATGTATGTAATTTTTTTGCATATTGGTCATGAAAAGATCTTTTTATTTTGTCTTTTTTGGTCAAGAAAAAAATTAAGCTCCTATAGCTGGAATGCTTCTGGTGTTCTTACTAATTGCAATTATTGCAATCGTCATTTTCGAAAAATTTCTAATCCAGCCGTAATTTATTTCACAGCCCCATAATATCTGGCCCCTTGCAGTCGATGTTGAAAAATGCAGTCCTCATCTTTGTCCTTTTTGAATGGGAATCATTCCGAGGAGAATCAGCTGAACGGAAACGATGGAAACAAGTCTGCCGAGGGCAAAGATATAGAAAACCAGCGTGAAATAGGGACCTGCAGACTGTGTGCGCAGGATGCCGTGGGCATTGATTTGCTCCTGAAGGACAACAATAAGATCAGGGACATTGCCAAAATGTATTTGGCCATTGAGGTATGATTATTAAAAAATTAAATCGTCACGTTTTAAATCCATCATTTTATATAAAAATTCTTAGTTCATAGTTGGATTGCCCACGCACATTTGCTACTCATGCAGCACTTTGCTGAAGACTTGGGACACCTTCATGAGTGTCTTCAAACAGAGCCAGTTGACTTTCAAATGCCGGTTGGCTAACAATCGAGACAGTCAGTCGTCCACCAATTCGACCGAGCTAGTTTTGGTTACGCCGAGTCCTGCCAAGTCTCAGAAGATGTCCTTGACTCCGGCACCTCCTCGGAAACGCAAGGCTGAGGATCTTTCGCCAACAACTTCCGCTTCGTCCGCCCTAGCCAGTCCTCTCAGCAGCACTGACAAGGGAACTATTGGAGACGGTCGTAATTCGGACACAGACGAGGCGAGTGAGTGTCCATCGGAGGTTGTGGAGGAAAGGGCTGTAGTCAAGAAGGCCAGGAGGGGCCGACCTCCAAAAGTTATGCAGCCGATTCCTCGCATACCCCATCCAAGCCAGAATAGAAATCGTAATATACTTATTGTTCTTTTCTCTATTTATAAAGTTTTTTCTTTTTTGAAACAAAATTTCATTAAAAAGCAAAAACAGGATAACAGGGAAAACTTTTTTATGCGTATCAGAAGTTGCTTTAAATTTTCCTTTTTATTGGATATATTTTATTCCCTATTTATTTACAAATAACTTTCTTGAAAATAATTGTCAAGAAAATAATGCACGCATGAACTGAATATTTAATGGAATTAAATTTTTCAAAAATATGATTGACTGAAAAATTTTAATTGCACAAAAATAAGCAATTGTTTGATTTTCCATTAAATTTTTACAAATCGTATGATTATCTATATTACATGACTATTTCTATGAAATCACTTTGAAATATGTAATTAATTCCATTTTAATTTCAGCGCCTCCACAACATCAATTTTCTACTCCACCACCACCGCTCTACCAGCAGCCTCCGAGGTTTGTGTCTCCAGGACCCTTTGCTCGTCCTCTCTTGCCCAGTCCGTCACAGCAATTTTTGCCCCACTATTCGACCATTATGCAGCAACAGCAGCAAGCAGCCGTTGCCTTCCAGCAGCAGGTCGCTCAAACTGCCTTAGACTTCCAAATGAGTGTGCGGCAACCGGTGCTGGACGAACAATCTCTCGTCCTGCAGTCATACCTTGTCAACATCCCTCCGCACCAACACCAGAACTTTATTGCTCACTACATCAACAACTTGATTTTCATGAACACCGCTCAAAATAATGCTGCCTCAAATCAGATTGGACCTCTTCCAGATCACAGACTTTAAACAATGACGGTTTTTCTCATTACCGAAGGTAGGAATGAATATATTTTGCCTTTTTTTTTCTTTTTAAGTATATGCAAATTATGACGATGCTTCCAAAATTAACTTGAATTTCCTAATCGTTGATATTTTATATAATAAACTTTTCGGGGCATCACTGTGATCAAGCATTTTATTCACACACAAATAATGTGACCAAGGTAGATTCGCAATTTTGATACAACAAGGTGTTGTCTGGAGTCATGTTGTCTGACATCAGTTTCAAAAATAAGCAATTGGATGTTTTGAAACATGGGTCTTTGGGAACTTTTCCCTGTGGAAAAAGAGCTAGAGGAATTGGTGCACCCGATGAGCACCACTTTGCTGGGTCTCCAATTTCATCTTCATTTAAGGGCCCAACTGCTGTCATGTTAAGGGGTCTCACTATAATCATTGATGAAGTAAAGTGGGGGAAAGAAATAGTAACAAATTATCTTTTACATGTTGCATCAAATTGCATTAAATCATCTAACTCTTTTATATTCTCAATTTCTATTAGTTTCATTCCGATTGAGCAGCAGTACAAGTATGCGTCGCCGTAAGACTGAAAAAAAAATTTATTACCATATAAAAACAGTGGCGGTAAGCATTTTCACTCACAAAGTTGTGACTGTTGTTACCCTTTGCTACAAAATAACTAGCTCCATTGGGCAGACACTGATTTTCCAACGTCGGCTGAAATTTTGGTTTAAATTTTATTTGGTAAATTATAATTATGTTGTTGGTACTTTTCCCTGTTGTTTTCAATTGACCTATGAGTGCAGCCTTTAAACAAGCCAAATTATCTTGTTTGCCAATTTATTCAGTTTTATATTTTCATTTCTTACATTTTGCCCGCATTGATAATCAACATTGCAGTATTGATAGTTTGGCTCACACGGCAAAGTTGTTGGCAGCTGAAATGAGCAATTTATTTTGAATTTATTTTTCATTTTAAAGTAAAAGGGGGAGTAATTTAAACAGGTTAATTACTTACTACATCATTATAGTTACCAGTCAGTAGAGTTATAGTTTTTAGCAGGGTCTGATAGCTGCTAATGAGTGCACACTTTGCAATCATGTAGGTAAACTCACACCGACTGTAATTCATTTTTGCCGCTGTAGATTTATCATTTTTATTGAACTTTCTTGTACTGAAACAAAATTATTTACTAGCTAAATCGCACTTTTCTAAAACTGCGTAAATTGTCTGAACTTCCGTGGGGCTCATCTGTAAATCCTCCAAGCCTCTCAAAATGCTGTTTTCATTAGCACTTGTATCTAATATCTGCCGATAAAAATTTATTATCAAACTGCTTCTTAAAATTAGGTTCCAACGATCAATTTACTTTGCGATGATATTGGCCCATGCATCTGGCAAAGCACTATTTAAATTAATATTTAACAGTCAATCATATAATCAACAAGATTAATCATTAATATGATTTTTTTGTATCATTTTTCATTCAATGTTTAGAATTTAAAAATAAGTTAATGTACCATTAGATTGAGTCTTGGTGGCGTCATGGAAAAAGCTAAAAGATTGTCCTCCTCCACTGTGGGTAGATGCAAAAATTAACAGGATATTTACATGCAAAGTTAGCTAATGGTATTATTGAATGGTGCTAAACTTAGGATGCGAATACGCCCTACATTGACTTGAACGCGTCTCTGTTTTGTTCTCCCATCAAAAATTAAAGTTACTATTTCAAAAGTAATTTATTTCTTTACATGGACCGATGTCATAAGTTCTCTTGCAATCCCAAAACATCCTCTGTGCCTTGTTTCCCTTTGGTTGATGAAAGGTAAATGCCTGTTTGTTAGAGTTGTGATTACATATTTCATTTTTATGTTTATAAAACGGTTTATCACGCACAGCGCAGAGAAAATGTTTTTCCTCTTCGCAAAAAGCTGTCTTTAGATCTGTATTGTTTGATGTTTTGTTGAATGAAATGACCACGCAGGTGTGCTCGTTTTTCGGATAGTTTTCAGCCCACACCGTTTCTCGCTGATAAAAGTATGATTCTGTTGAGCACCAGAAGTGCTTTCCTGGAATCTTTGTTGCTCTGCCAGAACTCCAATATGATGTTGCATTCAATCGAAGAGGGAGCTCTATATTTTCATTCAAAATATTAATTATCCCTAATCATCCTATTATTTTCCACCCAATAGAAAATACTCTTCTAATATTTAAAACATTTATATCAAATTTCAATTTATCTTGTCGCTCCAGTCTGCAATAAGTGCAGTATTTATTCTGGCTTGATGGCCTAGTGTAGTTGTTTTAGGACCATATCATAGGTAAATATCAATATATCTTGGAATAAACTAATAAAGATAAATAATTGAATGCAAGTTACGACTTATGCGGATAAATTAAAATCATTTAGCATGAAATTACATTTTTTTCTTAATCACCTCAAAGTGAGTTTTCTTGAATTTGAAAATATTTACTATTAAATATGTTTGCAATGCACTCCCTCTTTTCAATCAGATGTACACTCGCCAAGTCCATTCCAATGCTGCAACAGTAGTTTCTTGCATCAGCCCACGATTTCTTTGTAAAAATAATAAAATTATTATAGTTATAAAATCCCATCACATAATGCAGCTTGAAGATATACTTGCATTCGTGAGAAATAGTAGAACTATCCACAGCTAATTTGAAAAGTCCCTCTGATTGGGCCGGGCTCTGATAAATTTAAATAAGAAAAATCAGTTTAAATTTTTTTGAAGAAAACACAGAAAAAATACTTAAATGATATTAAATTTAAAGGTGAAACTAGAGGTGGGTTTCATGAAAATTTATAACCGGTTTCTCGTTGGACAAAGAAAAATGAAAAAAATAAAAGGACAACTGACCCCAAAAGTGCGGTCTACTGCTACTTTAAAAAAACCTTAGTTTTTGTTGTGTTTCATATTAAAACTGACAATGAGAGGGATAGGAGGAATTATAAAAAAAAATAAAAATGAGAAATTTGGAATTATAAATGAGAATCAAAAATAGCAGAAATTAATTAAGCAACAGAGTCAGTCATTATAGCTTCAAACTGTGATTTTGCCCAAAAATTCCAAGTCAATAAACCCAAAGATTTTTCGCGTACTTCTAGGAGAGGACCGCGGAACTCAGGTTTTAGCTGATTAGACTTGGACTGGCCAAAGCAGCTGTCATTACCAGTATTGTGGCAGATTTTTGTGGATTTGCCAGAAAAATATTTGGGTTCATTGCCCTGGAAATTTCTGGCAAAATCACAGTATGAAACTATTGTCTGACTCATTGTCAGTTGCTTAATTAATTTCTGCAGACCCAGAATTTTTTTTCATTATAAATTCACAACTTATTTTTCTATAAATTCCTCCCTCTTAGTTTAGTACGGACATGACAAAACCCTAGGGGTTTTAAAGAACCAGCAGACCGCAGGTTGCCTTTTGGGGTCAGTTCTCCCTTTATTTTTGTCATTTTTTCTTTGCATCCAGTTTAAAATTTTCTTACACGTAAGAAAATTTTATACGTGTATAATATGATTTCAATTTAAATATCTCGCCTTGGATAAGTCCATCTGCATTATATGTAGGTAGCTGTATATTTGATATAATAAAAATGATATTAAGTAGCTTTGATAATACATAATACTCCAAGCATATTATTTCCACAGTCCTGTTTCGGTGGGCATCCGTTTTGTAGCTGGTCTACAGGGTTTTCCATGAATTTCTGATGTGTTTCCGTCAAATTAGAATTGCATTTAAAATTTTGAATCTGAATACAACGATGGAGTTTGCTTCACACGCAAAAGCGTATCTGTAGGAGCACGGGTTGTCGCTCAACAGGAAAGCACCATTTGCTAAACTAGCGCTGACGCACACATCAATGCTACCATTTTTCTCGTTTGGCTCGTTTGGGTGCCAACTTCCGGTTTCAAACTGTGGATCGTTGCTAGAGCACCACACAAATGTACCGTTGGTGCATCCCTTGGAAGTACCGCTGGTCCAGAATTGAGTGTTGTGAGGCCAATCTGAAGTTTTCACAAAATAAGCCTATTTTATGATAAAGAATTTCCTTCACTTTTAATTACTTCCCCAACGCGTTTTATCTTTAAAAATGACTCAAAGCTGATAAGCCACATGCCTAAGCTGCAACATTTTTGCCAGGCATTTGACCATGTCATCTATTAAATTTTTGATTAAATTATTGATAATTTTACTTTTTAAAATAAACCCACTGGATAGCCTCCAAATAAATAAGTGGCATTGTCTACACGTGTCCATGCTCCATATTTTTCTGGATCTATAAATTTATAAGTTGTATTAAAAATTAGCTCAAATAGGTTCTTTTAAAGCTTTAAAGTTAAAACAAACCTTTAATACTAATTGCATCATCAGAGACAATTTTCTGTAATGGCAAATTGGTTAACAAATAACTTCAAGAGCATGAATTAAAGTAAAACGGTTTTTACGCAGGTTTGACAGTTGCACAATGGTGGTCTCTATAAAATTTGGAAGGTAAATTTGATTTGAATTTATTATTTTAAAGTACTGTTGTAGTTGTGGTAGGCATAACTGTTGAAGTTGTGGGTGCTATGGTAGGTGAAAGAGTAGAAAATATATCAATGGATTTTGTGACTTCAATATTTGTAGTTATAATTTTTTCTTTATTTGATGATGGTTCTTCTGTAGCTTCACTAGAAAATTCTTAAAATGAATTATATTTTTGAAACGTTAATATAAAATAATAATTTAAAAAAGTTTAAACAACCCAATAAACCGTTTGAAGTGGTAGCAGTTTCTTGGCTTTGCTCAGTCGTATCATCTGTGCTCTCTTCAAACATCACTGGTGGATTCGTTGTGATCACAGGGATGGTTTTATTACCAAATGTGATCGATTTAGATAAAATTGTGCTCATTGAGACTTTTTTAGTCAAAGCTGCCGCAGGTGCTCTGCTTTTATGGAGGCCTGTATGATTTGGCAAGGACGCGTAACATGACTTTTTCCCACAGCACTTGATAATATATGTTCTATTTTTCTTCCCCTTCCTTGATTTTGACTGCCGGACTTGCACTGTAAATTAAGTATTTATTTTTATTTAAAATTTTTATAAATTGTGTTGTCGTTTATCATTTTTTGTGATATCAGTGGTTCTACCTGCATTATAATTATCAGTTTTGCTCCATGCCCTGCTTTCCTTATTTATTGACCTGACCTTTAATTACGTAAAGAGAACTTGAACAATTTTGTATAATTGGCAAGTTGATTTTTACTTCTTTGGTAATATTTTCAGCTATTTTGCCATTACACTGCAATTTTTTAAAGCGATTTTGTTATTATTGTGATATGGATAAATTTAAAAAAAAAAGTAACAAAATGAAAAAAAAATAGCAAATAAGTTAGAAGGCGAAACCAGAAATTTAATTAGGAATTATCTCTTTCACGTGCACAATTTTAATTTTTTCAAAACATTTTGTTGATTCTAAATTTGAATCATGTAAAATCTATAATCTTTCAATACATCTATAAATTAATCTTATTTTACGCATTATCTGCTTCATTTTCAAAGAAGTAGATTGAACATAATTATGTGGAAACTTTTTTACATAGTGTCAATTTTTATATTTTGTTTTCATTTGAAGAGACAATTATTTATTCTGATAGAGAGGAAGAAATATTTAACAAAACTTGTCATACCTGATAAAGAGTGAAAAAAATCAATGCGAAAGTGAAGAGGAAAAGTTGAGCCTTCATTCTTTTTTACAAATGCAGCTCTTTGCGACTATAGCTGTTTGCTCAACTTTTGACCTAACTTTAATAAACCTAGATACAGAGTGAGATGCAGCAGACTGCATGTAGTGTTCTGAAAATCTGAACATCCGTTGTCTATTCCGATTTCGCAATATTTTGAAAAAAAATATTATCATGCAGACAATACTGTTACGGATGTATAGCCAGCTGCGCTATGGCGTTGTTATATTTTCAAACTGTTTTCAGACATGACGCGCTCTCCCATGTTTTGCGCTCCCATTATGCACGTTTTGCTTGCGCTATTGAGCTACCTTATTGCTCCGCTTCGTTTTTTATTTCAACTCATTACATTTTACGCGCATTGTTAGTCAACATTGCGGTATTGATAGTTTGAATCGTACGGCAAATTGGAAATAGGCACTATTCTTTGATTTTATTTACATTTTAAATGAAAGTGTGATTTAAAAAACCGGTCTTAAAATTACTTACTAACTAGCTAGAAGCAATTAGACTTTGATTTTGTTGTTTCAGTAGCTGAAGGCGTTGTATTTTCTTCTGCGTGTTTTGATGAAGATATTTTTGTATCTTCATTAGAATAGTTTTTTTAAAATTATTATCGGATATTATAAAATACCAATATATAATATTAATCTACAAAAGTTAAAACAACATAATAAACTGTTCGCAGCAGTGGAACCATTTCGACTTTGATCAGAAGTATTGTCTATGCTCCCTTCAAACACCTCTGGTGGATTCGAACCGATATCAGGAACTGTTTCGGTTTTTAATTTGGACGTCAAAGTGCTGCTTGATTCTTTGTTAGTTGAAGCTGCCACAGGTGCTGTGCTTAATTAATGCTGGACAATTTGATTTGTCACAGACGCACAACATGATTTTTGTCCCGCTGTACTTGATTATATGTGGCCTTTATCTTGCTGTTTCGCGACTGTGATCGCTGGACTTGAATAGTGAATTTATAAAATATAAAAATCCACATTTTAAGATTTAACGATTTGGGAATTTGTTACATAATACATAAAATACAAACGCATGTGCTCCAAATTTCAAATTAATTAATTAGATTGGATAATATGGATAAAATAAAAATTTTAAGTGTCATGAAGATTCATTTTTTCGTGTTTAAGAAAAAACTATTCTTTTTGAGGGAAAACATTGGAATATTAAAAAAAAATTAATACCTGATCAAGAGTGACGTAAATCATTATGTTAGTGAGCAGGGAGAGTTGAATCTTCATTTTTTCCCAAATAATTTAACTCCGCGAGGCTGGCTGTGTTCATGTTTTGACCAAATTTTGTAAAAGAATAGAGTGGAAAGAGATACAGTAATGTTCCATCTTCCTTTTTTTTCTCTAAAATATTCTGAAAAATATTTATGCCAGCGGAAATATGTTACCATATACGAACGCTTTTGGCCAACGCCGCTATGACGTGTGATAGAATAACAACGATAAATCAAATATTATGTCATAAAAAGACCACCATACTTATATAACAGGTCAAAAAATCACGATGAATGGTTCTAAAACTATTTGATAAGAAAAATAAATTACAAATAGGTGTTTTGTTCTTGATGAATTTTTATGATAGAAAAGGCTCCATGAGGAAGTTTAATTGTAAATAAAAAATTTAATTAGCTGAAGTCCTTGGTCAAACACTGACTTTCTTATACTGTTAGGGCCGTAAGGAAGAAAATAATTTTTCTGCATATTTAATACAATAAATTTTCATATTGCATTCCTCCTTTATTTTTTTTTTATAAATTCTTAATTCACATTTTTCATGAGTGCACAAGGAAATTTCCAATAAATTGAAAATAAACAAAAACTAAAATCATAATATATTTAGTTTCATTTTTAACACCAGAGAGCACATCACATTCAGAAACGCCAGAAACTGACAATTTTCTTATGATTTTTTTTTTATAATAGCTTCAAACACATAAAAATCTGCAGTTGAATATGGATAGTGAAAGAATGAATTATTTTCTTCTTTTTCAACAGAGTAACAATAATTGAGAATATTCTGTACCTTATTTGCTGACGCCCATTTCTACAAAATATTTAAGTAGGAGGCCAAAACATTCATACATTTTCCCGTAACATTCATAAACATCTAATTTTGAAGGTTATATTTGAATACACTAAACATTTATAAAACTTCGTTCACCCTGTATCTCTCAATTACAACAAGAGCATTCCTTGACCTTTTATCAATGAGAGCTCGGAGCATTACTATTATTTGCAATCCTTTGAACTTTTCCTGGTGTCTCTTTCAATTACGATCCAAATGAGAACATTTCAAAAGAGAAATTATAAAGCTTCAATGATAATTATTTTGAATGTTACAGAAATTATGACGTTTTTATGTAAAAGTAATATTTTAAAATACAGAAAGCCAATGGGAAAAAACTTGCTGTCAATCATCAGAAAAAATGCTGATTTATATTGAAAAAAATTGAAAAAAGTATTAAACCTAAAGAAGTTTCCTCTTTCTTGAAGTTCCACAATCTTCTAAATTCTTGTTTTAATTTTTTAGCCTTAAAAATTAAGAATCACATTTGATGGCTTAAATTAATGGTGCTACACATATCTGCCTAAAGCTGTGTAGAAGGCTTGCAAGCAGGGGAGTAACTGAGGGAATGTGGGTCTCTCTTCTGGGGACGACAACCAGCAGCACGCCATCACGGAAAATCTGAATGGACAAAGTATTACAATTTTGTGAGTTGGAAAAACAATTATTGAGATCTTACAGCTCGTCTGGGCAATTCACCGGCTGAACCAATCTGTATCCATCTCTGAGATACTCTGCCATTTCGTAGGGGTCGATTTCAGCATAAGGTTGCTGGGCCAATGTTGCGAGTTCCCACAAAAGTACTCCAAATGCCCACTAGAAATATAAATTAAATATTTTTTTTATTAGAAAATGATAAAAACTCGTTGCTGAAAATATTATTTGGTGCGTTTTTGTTATAAAAATAGGGATTGCTATGCAACCAGGTGAACTTGCAAGTCCAACAGGTTGCATAATTCAACATTCATAAGGGGCTCACCACATCAGACGCAGAGGAAAACTTTCTGTGCAACAGCGACTCGACCGCCATCCACCTAATAGGCCTGTTCTCGTTGTCGCCAAGGCAGTGGTAATCGTCTGGGAAGAGGTCCCTCGCCAGTGCGCTGTCAGTCACCTTCACCCTCAGTCTTTCATCAACACTAAAAATTAAAAATAAATTTGATATATAATCATAGAAATAAAACTAAATAAAATTTTTTCTAATTTTTACACTTACACGCAATTTCTAGTGGCTACGTCTCTGTGCGAAAGTTTGTGGCCGTGAAGGTACATGAGGGCGAGCACCACCTGCAGGGCCATGTGCACCAGGTCTTGGGTCGTCAAGGAACTTTGACCTTCTTCATCATCAGTGGATAGTGGTGTCTCTTCTTTGCTCGGCAAATCACCGTTGCTGCCCCTTAGACGGCAGTTTTGCAAAAACCTGATTACATATAAATTTTAATGTTAAAATATAAATTCTAATTTGATGAAGTTTAAGATTGACCTTTTGAGATTTCCATGGCCCATTAGCGGATAGACTAGCATAGGATGTCCACGGGGCTTGGGCAGACCTACGGCTAAGATGGGAAGAAGATTTTGGTGCTGAAGTCCATAAAACATGGAGCCCTCGGCTAACAAAAGGGCCACTTGAAACGGAGAGGCTACGTCTGAAATAAGCCAAAATTAGCGCATGAGTTTAAAACAAAGATTTGTTGAAAATTTACCAGTAACAGTTTTGATCATCACTTCATCCTCCTTGACCCCAGGTCGCTCCTCACTTCGGTAAGTCCCCTTGTACACGCGCCCAAAGGTGCCTTCCTGTAGCATGGCCTTGGTGTTCACCCTGCAGCCAGGCACAGCCAGCAAACGGAGACGGTCAGCAGGGTCAGAAGCACGAGGATCTCGGAATGAGTCGGCCTTCAAATTACACAAAAAAATAGTTATTTTATGGAATACTTAAAAGTTATTTATATTTCAAACTAATACGGTTGCATACATACATGCCACATAATAATAATTTTTAAGATTTTTTTTTTTTAAATATATCAAAGGGCGTAACTTAAAAAATTACACCAACTGAATTTGTGCATTTGTGTCATCTTTTTTGTTATTAATGCAGTTAAAAAAAGCTATATATTTAATCAAATGGTTATATAAGTTATAAAAAGTAGGAGGAATGTACAGAAATATTGATTAAAATTAAATTTATAAAGAAGAATAATTATGAAATATAATGATTTGCAATCTACCTTCGAGCTCATTGAGATCTGCGAGGAAGCGTAGTAAGAAGTCCGAGAGCCGCAGTGGGGTCGACAATAAATGTGAGCACTGGAGGCGGGGCTGCTGGGGGCGGCGTACACCGCGTGGATCGGCGTGGGCTGCTTGGCCCCCAGCACTGGAGTCGAGTAGTACGGTACGGGTGCGCTGAGGGGGATTTTTTGAAAGCTGGCAATGGTAGCGTAACTGCCGCCACTGGCCACGCTGCCAGGTCCTGTGCGGTTGTTGGCGCTGTCCAGCCTGATGAACACGTTTGGATTGCTGCCGTAAGCGGCTGCTGTTGTGTAGCTTGTACTGGAAATGTAATAAAAATTTGTTATTATTCTTTAATATTAATTAATATTAATTTTAATCTACAAAAAAAAAACACCCATACCTATTTTTGCTACACTTTAAATATTTTTATCTCTATATAAAAAAAAAGATAAAACTGCATCAAATTTGACGAACCTGACAATACAACTAATAAGATTATTTCTTCAATTCTTTTTTTTAAATATTGATGTCAATGGATGTCAAATACAAGTTGATTTTTGTTTTTAATTATTTTTTATTTTTAAAATTGATGTTGCTATACTGTTATAATATAATGAGCACTATAGCCAATTTCCAAGTTATAATTTTATTTGCAATAAATAAAAACAATGATTGAAAAATAAATCACTTTAAAAATTTTGTTTTAAAACAAATTTCTTGAAAAATATTTTACATTTTAATATATTAAATATTCCAATTTTAATTTTATATTTGTATTGATTATGTATTTAAAATTACATACAAACTGCTATTGTGAAAAATTGAAAGTTGAAAATCAAATTTGTATTACTATTTTATTTTTATAAGAATATAACAATAGACTTAAAAATTTAAGTGATTTTGCCTATACTCACTGGAGTGACTCTTGTGCCCTGGATTTCTTGCTTCGAACGTAGAGCAGCGAGGCTGAGGCCACGATGAGGGCGATCATTGCGCACGCACTGCCCACGGCTACGTAGAAGGTTCCTCCGTTTAAAGACCCTGTGGCCAGGTGCACCGAATCATTCCGCATGGCTGCCTGCATCTCCGCTGAAACAACAGAAAAAGTAAACATTTCATTTTTCTAATACGCAATCAGCCTCAAGGAGAAAAATTCGCACAACAACTCCAGTATTATTTTTTATTCTTTTCCTCTGTTTATTATTGTACCAGTTGATTTTTGCAACAAGCAGAGCGAGGGTTTGATTGTACGGAAAGGGGAGAGGTTTCTTTGATGACGCCGGGTCTTTGGTCTTTCCTTTACCTGTCCCCAGCACACACACACACACACACACCTGCAAGCTAGAGGGTCTCATCCCCCAACCGGCTCATCCCCTTCGCTGCAACGGTGTCTCCCCCGAACAGGCAACTTTTGGCTTTCGCTTATTAATACTTCAGCCGGCGAGGGTTTCAACTTTCGGGCATGACAACGACGTGCAACTGGTAGTCCTGACAACGGATTTTGGTAAATGCGAACTCATTCCAAATACGGGCAGAGCTTTAGTAACAGGACACCCAAATCAAAGATTGCCTTTTCCGCCACACGGATTTGGAAAAATAATTGGTTTTTGGTGAAATTGGACGCTTGTTAACGTTTTTTTCATGTCAATAATATAGGTTGAAGTTTGGTGATACCATCAGAAAATTAATTAGTTAGAAATTTTAATTTTGTGTTAGTATTATTAAATTTACGTGATTTTATTTTGCTTTTTCTCACCTCTAGTTTTGGTCAGAAATAAGAAAATTATATTACACACATTGACATAACATAATATGTTTTTAACTCATATTACAGTATATATTCCTATGTATTTTTGATTTAATTTCCGTTTTAATAAATTAAATTTGAATTAAAATTTTTACAAACAAAATTTACATAAAACCCTTAATGTATAACAAATGTTAGCCAAGTGTAACAATTTTGGCAAATTAACAACAATAAAAGATATTCTAATAAGTTTATTTTTTTTATATTATGTTTTGGTGCTATTTTTTGTTAAGTTTGCTATGCGCTAAAAGTTAACTGCTTTTAACACAATTCCCTGCAGAAACTATTTTAATACGATAAAGTATGTCCAATCATTCAAATTATGTCAATTAGAGAAAAATCATTTTTATGGAATTTTTTAACGAAGAAAACAAGAGTAAAAATTTTGGAATCGCCCATCCTAAACCCGAAACGTTTAAAAAAGCTCCGACAAACTAGCCGTCGGAGCGTCAGATTTATTTGTTACGGCACCCATTTGGAAGGGCCATTAAACAGTCATCACATAATTTTTATTTACTGCCGGCGCATAAAAGCATGGAACGATTTCCTCCACTTATAATTTCGAGCCAGGCTTTTGAAAATTTCGACTTGACGGCGCTGGAGCGGTGCCAGAATCGATTCTCTGCGACTTGTCCACTTACGGCGCTGCAGACTGCAGCCGCTGGCGAGAAGAGAAAGTGGCTGGCGTGCGCGTCCAAAGGGTTGTCACACACAACTCGGCGGCAATAAAAGCCCGACCACGTGCTATGCTGTGCGGTCTGCTCTCTGCATTTTCTGCTAAACTAATTCGCCCGCTACTGCACTTGCACGCTCCACATAAATTTATGAATGGCCGCCCAGATTTACTGCCACGAGTTATCGTTGGCAAATATTGTACCTGCGCTCCGCAAACACGGTTGCTTTTACACGAATAGGGTTTGGTTGGCGCCGTGCTGAGCGCATTATACCGAGAGGACGGGGAATTTTGTTTAATTAACTTGGATTTAAATGAGCTTTTTAATCATACTCAGGGGTTTCATTAAGTGTTGGACCGAAAAACCTGAAACCATGCATTATATTGCATACATTTTACAGGTGGATTCAGGATGTAGATAAATTATAATTTGGATTAGAAGTAAAATAATTCCTCTTTGCATTTTTTTTTAAATTTACAACGAAACAAAGCCCGTTCTCTAAACTTCCATGCTTTTTTATAATCCATTTATTTTTTCAAATATAAATTTAACGTGGATTTCTGAAACTTCGCGTGTTTATGCCAATGCCTTGAAAACCAATGCAAACATTATAACTTTTAATAAGAAATTAAGTTTTATCAAAACTTTTTGTCTAAAAGAATAAACTGATTAATGCAAACACAACACTGCTCCACACGAAAAAATTACGAAAACACACAATGTAACGAACAATTAAAAAATTCCAAATTTGATTTTGACAGGACTTCACTATTTTTTATTTCTAATTTATCTAAAAATTGGCTTGAAATATTTACCTTTCCTTTAACGGCTTAGATTAAAAATTAGATAGAAAAATTTATCAGCAAAAAAGCTGACACTTAATTAAAGTAAAAAAAACTTATTCAGAGACTTTTAACTTTTAACCAGAATTGTGATTAAAAAATGTGAGATTGCATTATAATTTCTGATATGCTAGAAAATTCTTTATTGGTTTAATATTTACAGCAAATATTTTAACGATTTAAATTTGATTCATCTCGTCAAAACCTTTGGTTGCATTTTCTGCTCACAAACTTGCCTATAGGTCATTTATAATTTTCGTTTTGTGTCCTGTGCCGTATTGGGAAAATACGGTCTTTTATATTTTAATGCAAATTCCCTTATTTTTTTTTCTTTTCTATGGCTGCAGAAAAAAGTGGCTATTCTGAATCCACAACAAGTCGGCTGACGATTATGAGCCCACTCACCCGAGCATTCTTCAAAGACTTTTTGCTCATTTGAGCACCCGTGTTCGCTCTCTCGCTATTTTCGGCCTCTTGCTGCGGCTGGAAGGAGTGCGCCGCGCTTTTGTTCCGCTTTCCGCCTCACTTGCTTTTCGCAAATAATACACAGTATATGATCGTGCGCGCAAAAAGGCGGGTGAGCGCGATATTAATATTACCGACGAAATCAGAGAGCGGTTCAACGAGATTTCGAGTTCGCAGCGGCAGAAACTCATTGGTAAGGTAAATCAAACACACGCTCTCTCCTCTCTCTCCGTATTTGTGTACGTTGGCTGCGCAAATACGCTACACATTTCATAACTGGGCGAGCGCGCGATTCGCAAGCACTCGATGGGAAATTTGTTTGATGCTCTGTCTGCGCTCCAAAGTTTTTTAACCGAACTGCGGTTGTTGAAGCAAAAGTTTCCTGAGCTGCACTCGCTAACTAGAGACTTGCTTCCTCATCTCTATTATGTTCTACTTTTGAACAGCTCAATTAAAACTTCAAAATTTTTAATTTTAGCAAAGCAAAATTCACTTTTATTAAAATTATTTAATAAATTCCAAATAAAATTAAATTACAATGTTATATGAACTTAAGACAGCAGAGTTGAGTGTGCTGTGCATATATTTACAATTCAATCTCAGAACAAGTCTGAACTCATCTTATATGAAATTCCAGGCAAATGCAATAAAATAACTTCCTCAAATATTTGCTGAAGACGAATCCCTAGAAAGAATTAAAGGCAAACAATAACGCGATCGCATACAAAAGATTTATACATTTGCTGAATTGCTTCCGTTCCAGGGAAAAATCTCTCATCAAAAACTTGAGCGAGATAAACAGAAACTCTTTTCTCCTAAAAACCAAAAGCTTTTTCTCTTTTTCCCTTCGCTCTCTCGTTGGTATTTGCTTTCAATTACGCCTCCAGAGAGCCAGGCCATCTTTTAATTCCGTTCTCCAATCGTCTCTGATATTATTTGTTTTGGCCGTAAATAAAAGCTGCAATGTCTGTTTGTTCAGTTTCCATGGTTACAATTTCGAGAGCAGCAGCCCTGCCTTGCCTGCTGCACCCATCTTGCTTTAATCTCTAATCTGTTTGCCGCGCCGGCGTTTCTTGCCAGGCTTTTGCCTTGCACCTTTCGGGGGCCTGATTCCTGCTCTTCGATGTAGATAACCCTTGGGGACGTGGCGCAAAAACCACCGACCGGATACGATCGGCCGTACAGTAATTCTATATCGCAGTTTCTCATTCGGAACGTTCGGCTTCCTTGCTGCCGGGTCACCTGGGGATCAACGAACCAAGCCACGCTTGTTTATTGAAACGGTCAGAGCCGCAAAATCGAAATGGCCTTTGCCATCGTTGAAACTTCTCACCCTCAATGACCTAAATTATCTTTGTTTAGATTGGTTTAGATTAGGGGACAAGCGAATGAAACTAAAAAAAATATTACATTTCCATATAATTTTACTGTGCGGGATTCAAAGTTGATATTAAAGCGAATGAAAAATTAATTTCTCATGATTTAAGATAAATTCACCCTTATTTAATGATGAATCTAATGATAAAAATTATTATTGTATGGATATTAGAAGAATAGAAGATGGATTGGAAAACAGATTTCTGTGCTCCATTAGAATCAATAATAAAAATTTCTGTGCCATAACAATGTTTTATCCAATCCACCCTTGCCAATAATTGTTGTTGTTTATTATTCACTGTTACAATCAGTTATTAAGAAATTCATTTAATACTGAGAAATAGAGGCGAATTTAAAGGGATATTATAATTAGCTTATTGGAAACTACCAGTAAGTAGCTGAATTAATTTTGTAGAGAAGAATTTAACTAGATGCATTTATTTGTTTACTTATTTCCTCAAGATATATTGATTTAACTGTTTATTCAGGGCATGCTATAGTAAATCACTATTCTTAAGTAGCGCTGAGTAGCCGGAAGTTTAATTACTTTTCCCAAAGAGCGCTAAAAAATGGAATTTCCTGCGATAATGTGAGATTTTCTTCTCTACGAAAGGGTGGGTGGTTTTCACCCGAGCTCGCTGGGCCGTAACCCCATTTTTCCTCTCACAACACAGCAGCACATATACGCGAAAAGGAAGCAGGCCAGCCGCCGACGCGAGAGATGCATTTAGCCGCTTTCTTGCGGTGCTGGCTGGTGGAATTCCGCTCCACTCATTCCCTACGTCTTCTCTATTTCTTCCTTTACTGTATAGTGGCCCAGAGCAATTATGGCGCCGCGATTTTATATATGGCCGCCGCTGCCCCTTACCACTTTTTTTGCTCAAGAGACCCAGGGGCGGATCCATTGAAGCTGTGAAAGCATTTTAAAAATTTTTAAATTATTTATTTGATTTTCAGTGCAATGATCACAAAATATTGTACAGTTATAAATTTTCATAAAAATTTGAATATTTACATTTATAATTTGGTATTAGGTGAAACAAATTCTAATTTTGATTTTTACTAATTTATTTTGGAATATATTTTTGTTTAAAAAAAAGTTTCGTCCTGGTTAAATTTTTATAGGCAAATTTTTTTTAATAACAAAATTTCCTCGTTCTGCCACTGGTTAAAGCTTTCACTCCAAGGGGGATGCCAATCCAAAGAAAGTGGTCTTTAGTTTTGTTATAATAGGAATTGCAAGAGGGGACGCCGGGACCTCTAATAGTTGCACTTTGAATGCTGTGGCCAGCCAAAAACCAACCAGCACAGCACAAGACGCATACGGAGTTCACGGAGTTCAAAATCTGGCGGCCATAAAATTTTTATTCCCGACGGGTCATTAAAGTATGCGTCGCTATTCTTGTCACCGGGCGAGAGATATATTTCCCAGGGTCGAAAAGAGCGCGGCTGATGGGTGCAGGAACAATAAAACACAAGATACCGGGGCGCGTGCATTAGCCGGAAAATAAAAGGTAAAAGGCACGTCGGTGCTTTTCACTAGCTCGGTGCATGCCAAATCGCAAGATTTATGGCCGCACATAAAATCCGGCCGCCCAAAATGGAATACGTGTATAATGCATGCGTGCCGGGAAATGCTGTGGCCCCGTTCCTCGACCATTATCATCTCCGGTAAAAATTTTATTGGCGACTTTTACGAGTGTGTCTCGAAAATAATTTTTGATTCATCGCCCCTGCAGTGGGTATGTGTGCGAATGAATTTAATCATGTTGTGATCCGGTGGCGCAATGCAATTATTAGACGTCCTGTGCCCTGCATTCTATTCTGCTTTGCTCGGCTCTCGTTCTGATTGCGATCACGCTCGACCCAGATATTCGTCAGGCCATGGGGGCAGATTTTGCCGTTTCGCGCCCCCATGCAATATACAATCGGCGTCGGCTCGTCTCCAGGGACATCCACTCAATGTGCTTTATATGCCGCACCTTCAATTATGGTTGGCATTGCTACCTTCTTGTATTTTTTTACTTTCATATTTTCATAATTTTAAAAAATAGTTTGCAGTTTTCTCTTTTATAATATTATCCAGCCCGGGGATAAAAATTTGCAACTCGCAAAATAAGTGAAGAAAAAAATGAGAGATAAAAAATTCTGATTCACAAAACTACAAGTTTGAAATTTAAAGATTTTAAATAATGATGAGATTAATTATACACAATACAAAAATATATTATTAAATTCTTGATGAAGGTTTTTAACATTTTTGACACGTAATTTATAAAGCTGAACCTTCATTTCACCAATAAATTTCTAATTATAATAGTGGCATCGCTCTATGCTCTCCCAATGCTCGTCTTTCATCTTAATTGCAACAAAGAAGCGACACAAAATCCACCCTCAACCATTCATCATAGAAGTTTTTAATGGCGGTAGCGCGGCCAGTGATGGAACAAAAGAACCCAAGTGGAACACGAGATCCTTTCAACCTCGCCCTGCTGGAGATAAAAAAAAATGATAGATGAAGCGCTTCGGACGATGGAATGAGAGTTGTAAGATCAACTTAAATGAGAGAGACTCGCCAACCGTGCCAGATCCTTTTTCTCTCTCATCCCCCATCATCGGATCAGAGATGGACACGGGGCGATGACACGGAAAAAGGGTAAACTCGTGTCTGCGACGACGAGAGGATTTTATATGTGAAAGAAAAGGCTGCAGAGAAAATGGAGAGCTATTCTTACCTTTCAAACAGATTTTTTTCCGGCGGAAGTTAAGAAGAGTGACGTTGTGCCGTGGGTTGGCTGAGGTCACGTTCAGCTGGAAGAGCACCTCAATCTCAGCACTCCTTAGGCCGGTACATTGAAATTGTATGCTGTAACAAGGAGAGTTGATAATAAGAATGACATTATTTAATGCAATATTTTATGTTAAATAATAGAAATTAAATTTGATGGTTTGTTTATTAAACAATAAATTAATTTTTAAATATATAAAACTTTTATATGAATTTTATGAAATTATTATTATTTAATTTATTAATAAAAAAAAAATATTTTTCAAACAATATAGGCATGAATTTTTTATTTTTAAAATAATATTTTGGGGTAATATAAATATGTACCCCGCAATATTATATGTAATTGGATATAAATATAATTTGTACTGTAATTGTACTTGGGGTAAGGTTGAATAATTAGTAATTTTAGTTTTTTAAGTTGAATTAGGATCTTCAGATGTTCATATTAAACGCAAAGTTTCGATAATACATAAATTATGTATGATTATTTGAATATATTCGAGAAAAAATAATTTATAGACAAGGAAACTTATGAGTTTAAACTGGCGAATCCATAAAAAGAATTTATTCTGAGAAATTTTTCATTTTTTTTTTCTCTTTGCTCAATTCTTGACTACTCATTTGCATCTAGCAAATGCGTGTGTCAGTCACACGCGCCTCGTATTTATGTGCAGTCGAGCACACACACGTTTTTCTGCTGAATTTTGTCGCCTTAATAATAAATAATACGGCAGCAGCGGGATGATTTATGAGCGCACGCAATAGAATTCGACTGAAAACGTTGGTATTCCATCACATTTCTGCCACGCATATTAGCGATAAAATGCACGGGAAGAAATGCAGGGGACAAAAAAGTGCATGACACACATCTTGTGTATGAAAAAGACGGTTATCTCTCTTCAGAGTCAGAGCGGCTGCAATAATTTCTCCACGACTGATTCGGCGCGTTTTCCCGGCGGAAAAGAAGAGCTCGCGGTGGTGGAATGAGGCAGGTGCTCGTTCGGAAAAGAGAGAGATACGCGAGGGCGGAAAAGCACCTGGTGGTTCCAGGAGACGTGCTGCATTTTTAATGCGGCCTCGCCGCGATAAGGAAAACGTTTGCATGAGATAAAGTGGGCTGCTTTTTGTGTGAGGGCCCCACAAGTATATATATTTCTCATCGATTATGAAGCAGCGGCGTGAGTTATGGTTTAGCAAATTGGAGGTTGCCATGCGGCCGAAAATGAAACGCGAGCGAGCGAAAAGATTAAGTGGCTCGGTAACAAGCCCTCTCTCTTTGTTGATGTTTTATTTATTAGCCCGCGCTCCAGCGACCAACTTGTGTTTTGGTTTTTCACCAGAAAGCCTCAAACAAAAGCAGAAAACTTTTAAATTTAGTCGAGATTCGGTTCGGAACAAAAGGGAAAATGTGATAGCTGGAGGAAAATTTTACGATATATTCATATGAAAAATTGTTTTGTTTTACTCTGCATGTTCCGCTTTTATGGTCCCGTTAACTCGCTCCCTCGTTTTACATCAATGTCACGAAAGTCGCAAATTTGCAGTAAATGTTGATATACGAGCATAATAAAATAAACAGAGTGGGAGCTGGGCTAAGTGTGTTGAAAGTGCGAGTGCCGCTAGAAGTGGTCGAGGAGCGGCCGAAATACACAGAGAGGGCGATTTATTTTACTTACGGTCCTGTGGAAAGCTTTATTACCGCTGTTCAAATACATTCTCATTTGAGCGACCGGCGCCGAGTTAGTCTCTTGCGTGGTTATTACACACACTTAAGCTCAATTATTCAACTACATACTTGAGTCGTAATACAATATAAGATTCAAAGTTCAAATATTTTTTTTTTACCAATGAGGAAGCAAAATAAATTAATAATACTATAATAACAAAATGTTTAATTGTTATTTTACTAAATTTTTGGGTAATATAAAACAATTGTTTTATTTTTTACAAATTTTTAAGCAATTATTTTACATCCTTCAAAAAATTTAGATTTAGTCAAATAATTTAAGATAAAAGTTATTTTTAGATAAAAACAATCAGATGCTCTAGATTGCCATTTAATATTATAAATATATATAAATTTACATCTTCACTTGATATCCAGAACTAATTGTAAGTTCACATTATATCGATGATTGCTTCCTGTGTGCGGTTTATTACTATTAAAATGATTATTTCAATTTTCCATATAAGTATAATATTTTCAAATGACGTTATTTTTCTGAACACTTGTACAAATACAGAAATAATATAAAATTGAGAAGTTTTAGAACAATGAAGCAAGAAAAAATGTAAATATCAATTTTCCAGCCAAGAACGGAACCGCAGCTGGAGAGACAAAGTTTCGCATTGTAAATCAAGCGGTCAAAACTTTTGTGGCTCTGTACAGAAAAAAATCGCTGCGCAGTAGAATAAATAAATTCCGGCTCACAAAAAGAGAGAGATTTCGCGCAGATGATAAAAAACAAAAGTGAGAGAGAGAGAGAACGCTGCTCAGAGAAGCGCGTGTTATTTATACCAGATAAAAGTGGATGCGCTCCCCTGCTCGTACGCGATCAAAAGGCACCAACGAGAGCTTCGGGGGCAGCAGGTATTCAAATACAAAGTTCCACCAGGAAATAACTCTCATCTATCTTGCTTCGGAGGCCGCGTGCGCTCATAAAAAATTTGATTCCTGCTCTGCCTGTGTGGAATAAATTGAATTTCCCCCGCGCGAATACGCCCGATTTGCTCCCGAGGAATTTTCCGCCTCCTTATTTTCCGCCGGATCTTTGCGTACATATTCTAGGAAATTAATGGTTGCTTATGGCGGCTGTCATTAGGCTGGAAAATAAACGGCAGAAGCGCGTGTGCCGTTGAGATAACAGTCGCGGGCTCTTTTTGTGCACCTGTTCTCTCCTGCAGCCGTAAATATTGCCACGGCGATGGATGGGCTCGTTAAAAATACACAAGCAATTTGTGGTTTTCCCTTTGCATCACGCAAGCAAATATTTAGCCGCTTTTTATAAGGCGTGGAGAAAGGGTTACACTCTTGATACATTTCTGGCAGCAGCACCACATAATAAAGGAAAATTGTGATAATCTCAAGATGATCACAACAGGATCTGAATTTTAAAAAATTGATATGAAGTTATAAAAATTCAGCTTTTTAGTTGATTTCTGCAACATTTCAACGTCAAAGAAATCAGTTGAACAAATATATCAATTTATTATTTATTTTAATTACTATAATTTTTAATTATTCATGTCTTCAAAAATTCATTACTTTCCAATAATAAAAATGAGGTGATTGAACCAATGAGCATAGAATAAATTTCTGTTTTAAAAAATTTTCTCTCCTTAATGACGTGTATCAAAATATATTTACAATTTTTTTTCTAAAAACATTTAAATATAGATTTTTCATTCCGATTTTTTTTAAATCATTTATCGTTGTAATAATTTAAATAACCTTATTAATACGAAAAAAAAAATATATATTTTAAATAAATACCGATCACATAACTTTATATAATAAATTTTAGTCTTACATATAAATTTTACGATAAGTTATTTAAATAAATTAAATTTGATTTTTTTTTTTTTAGAAACTAGCATTATAAGTTACTTGGCAACATTTATTTTGTTAATAATTTTTATAGATCAAATTATATCATGTTGAACACGATCTATTTATTATATTTTGCTGGCACTGCAAAAATCGTAATTATTCTGAGAGCTCTTTGGCGACCCCCGTCGCTTTTTTTAAAGAATCAATTATTCAAAGACCACGGCGCGAGTGAACGATGGATTGTGAAGAAGCAACTCGACCCTAAAAACGCGCTCTTTATACACGCACAGGGCCCTTGCTCTCTTTGTGCGTGGGCGTCATTGCATCGCTGGTCACGTTCGGTCCGGGACGTGCGGGAATGCGGCCGAGGGGCGCCGAAGCCCCTGTGCATATCTAAACTTTATCACTTTATATTATAAATACACACAAACCAAGGCGTGAACGGAATAAATAAATTACACCTATGCATGGAATGCAAGCAATGCGCGCGAATCCACAAGCCCTGGCTGGTAATTGCACGCGTGCGAAAAAGTTGTGCTGTCTGGGCATTTCAATTTATTGCGGTGCGAGCGGCGTGCAAAAAGCGGTGGGGCCTGGAATGTTGCTGCTGCGGTTCGCTCACCTAAAGCTAAATCATCGCGGATTAAAAAAGAGTGCACACACTTTTTCAGTAGAATTAAAACGGACGAGCAAAAAGTTCGAGTGGGTTGTAAAAAAAAGGATGTACCATTTTGCCATTTTGAAATGAAATTTACGGTTATTGTAAATAATCCAAATCCTTCCATTGATCAACAAAAACCGTGACAGGTAAATAAATATTTAAAAAAAAATTACATAATTTAAGTAAAAATACAAAAATTTAGTTAATTTTAAATTAGAAGTTATGAATAATCCAGGTTTATTAAAAATATTTCAAATTCGTTTGTTCTGTTCGAATTTCCAATGTGTGGGGAAAAAACGACAACATCAAACGCCACGCGTGCTTTCACATGCCATTATTCCACTTTGCACCCTAACGACTGTGGCTGCTATTTCAATTTCGCCCGCAATAAAAAGCAGACTCCATATACCTGAATGACCCTCGTTCTCTCCGCACAATGAACAGCAGGAGTTCCAACTTTTATCAAATCCAAACGCGTCCACTCTAGAGCAAATATGCCATATATATCTGAAAAGCCACCCCTTTGATGACGCGAAATTAACAATTAAGCCGTCAATTGCAATGCGGTGTCACTCGAGAGCTAGATAAACAGCCGCTCCGAATGAAATGAAAAGCGGCCCCGAGAATTCGCACCCGCGCTTGGATGGACGGACGGACGGGCCTGATATGGAAATCGCTGCTGTCGAGCCAGGGGCGCCTCCCTCGGGCGATAAAACACCCCAGCGAGCAGGGCATTCACATGGTAATTTGGTTCTTTAATGCGACCGCCGTTTCGCAACAAAGAGGGTATATCGGGCGCGAGGCAGCGAGAGCGGGTGGGCTAATTCGCAGCCGGGGCGCCACTTTGGCGCGCGAGATAAGCCGACCCCGAAATTGTGCATATCTACCCAGTTATGCTAATCCGGTGGGTATAAATAAATATTTCTCAGCCGGATTTCGGCGCTGGTCCTTTGAAAGTAGACGCCCCGGAGACCACTAGACGCTCGCGAGAGTGGACAAAGATAAGTCGTAAAAGTGTTGGATGCCCCTTTGTCTGCGTCCTCAAAGAGCTTTTACGACGGCGCTTTGCGACAAAAGTCACCGCGCCTCTGTCAGCGGAAGCGCCGCTTTTATTCTATTTGCGCGATGGCTCTGCTTGTATCATGTAACATTCTTGCTCCGAAGAAATTCCTCTGCGTGCGGCCATAAAATTTTCAAAAAGCGGAGGGAATATTGCAAGGGATGTGCGAAGCAAAGAGGATTTTGTCCACTTGCTGCTTGTTGTTGTGTTCAAGAGTATTGTGTTGTGAACCACGCAGTAATAAAAGTAATCCGGCCTGTGTACATCTAGAACTTGGGGAGACAATTTAATCAGGCGCTGTAAAATAAAATAATATAAAGTTAAAACTTCACTACAAGTTTGAATAAAAATTTTGTGAAATATTTTTCACTATGGCTTTACAGAAAAAAAATTATTCATAGACTACAAAAAAAATCTGGAATTGATCGCGAATATTTATTTAACACCACAGAAAATTCATTGAATAAGATTATCAATGAAATTTCTCATCATAAAAGCGGATTTAAGTAAATGAAAACTGTTATATTATGAATGTTTAAACTCAAATAGCTTTGAATTCAATAATCAATTTTAATTTAAAATCAATTTTTCTAAAAGGCATTATTATTTTCTCTCTCTCTCTCTCTCTCTCTCTCTCTCTCTCTCTCTCTCTCTCTCTCTCTCTCTCTCTCTCTCTCTCTCTCTCTCTCTCTCTCTCTCTCTCTCTCTCTCTCTCTCTCTCTCTCTCTCTCTCTCTCTCTCTCTCTCTCTCTCTCTCTCTCTCTCTCTCTCTCTCTCTCTCTCACAATAATATCAATATCAACTTTGAATAGCTGTGCTCGATTAAAAGCGCGTTGTGAATGCGAGGGCTGAATGCGTCCGTGTGTTTTTGTTACATTTGAAATGTCCAACGATGTACTGGATTTGCGCGATCCGATTTATTATATTGCGCAGCAGCATTTGGCTCGCAGCTGCAAATTATTGGCTTCCATTCCACAGTCATTAATAACGGCAGCTCTTATTATTGCGTGTGCCCCTAATAAATGGGGCCGTAATTGTTTTTGATTGGAAATTATCCGGTGCGCCGGCTAAATCTCATTAGAGGGGAGGAAAGAGGGTGGATTGTTTGATGATTACAGTTCTGCCATCAATCGATATTACGGGGGAAATATTTTTTTTTTTAATAACTTAGAGTTATGAGGAATTCTAATTTGCAGAATTCATTTTTTTTAAACAATTTTTTTAATTTTTTCTTCTATCATTATTATCTTCATTTTTTTATAGCTTATATCAAATTTTTTGTTATATATAATTCCTATTATCAATTTCCTCCTTTGTAAGCTATCATTGGTATAAGATTCTCGTGATCCTTGTCAGAAAAAATGGAGAACGGTAAGTGAAATAAGCAGTGTATTGGAACTTTGGAAAACTTCATTGAATTTCCTTTAAGCGACCATCCAGAGAAAGTTGCCCAATTCTATCTAACTCGAAAGTTTGCCGAATGGAGAAAGTTTTTCAATACTCACTGGAAGGGTTGGACTGAAGACGGCACGATGCCCTTGGCTGGAATGTCGATGTGCGGTGGTTTGAGCGCGTCAAAGTTGTTGTACTCAATCCTCAGCGCGTACGAGAGCTGCAATCACAAACAGAGAGGTTGATTACTTTTTCTCATTAGCAGATAACGACGAATGGAAATTTCTGAGCACCGAATGGAGCCACTCATCACCATAAAGCATGCGAAATAAAATATATACAGCGTCAAAAGAGGGGGGCGACGGTCTTTTCATTTTATAAATGGCGCAACGAACCCGTACAAAAAAGCACGCCCAGCAACTTTCTTTTATCTAGAGAGGAATGATATTCCTCCTCCACTCTCTCACGCTCGCCCACCAAAAGTTGACGAACTGTTTGAGATGCTAAATTTTTACGCCCCGGGCGGCATCCTCCGCTGCATCTCTCGCAGGCTCATTTTGGCCGAGGAAAGCTCTCGAGAATTGCAGCGCTGTTTGTTTCAAAAGTGCTGGAAAGTAAGGGATGTTTCTTTTGAGGGTGGGTAGACAAAAATATCAGGTAGAGAAGTTTATATCAATCTGCAAAGGGATGGTTAAAAAAAAAATATTACATAATATATAAAAATTAATTTTTTTAACAAGCTAATTTTGCTTTCAATGGATTTGCCAATCTGTTTGTATTTTTATTTTAAATTTGCATATTAATACATAGAATGAAACGGAGTGCAACATGAATATATGATCTTTGTGCATTCTATAAGTTTAAATTTAATTTAATTTCTACTAGCACTTAATAATAATAGTAAAACTCTAAAGTTTAAAGAACTTATTTTTGTGATTTATCTTATTTAATTTTAAAATAAATTTTTAATTTTTAAAAATTTAATATTTAAATAAATTTTGAACGTCTTCACTTTTCTGGATAAATCATAATTTCAAGTAATAATTTATCACTAAATTAAAATTAAATTGTTTTGGTTTTTAGTAGAATATTTATGTATTGAAAATAAATGTAGCTTGTTCAATTCAATTAACTTCTCTGCGTATTAACATAATTTAATACATAAATCAACAGAGGAAAAATATGTAAAACACATTTTATTGGTTTCGTAAGCCTTCCTTGCTAGGCTGACAGCTAAGAGGGAGAAAGTACACACGGAGAGAATAAGTTTGCTCGTCTTGTCGTCTTTCGCCTCCGAATTTGCCTGCAGAACGAGCAATGTGCAGGCAAAGAGGGCTTCCGTCGGTGGTGGTGTGACATCAGCAGGCTAATATCTGCCGCTCGTGTGTTTGTGTCAGCGACGACAAATCGCACTCTTGAGGCGAACCAGCCTCCAGGGAATTTTATTATTCGCCCGCCGCTGCGTTCGGCGAGAAACCAGAGTTCTTTTCTATGAATTCGCCTTGATTGGTGGCCTTTCAACTTTTATACGCCCGCCGTAAATTTGCTGCGTTGCAATAAAAGGCGCGGACAAAAACAATTTGATCGTGTGTAAAATATGTCTTGTGATATCTGGTGGCCATTCCGAGACGTGTCTCCGGGGCAATTCATATCCCGGTCGGCACCTCTAGTGGACGTTTACAAGCTTTACAACTTCCATCCAAGACGGATCCTTCGCCTTTCTCAGCTCAAGAGCTTGAAAAATTGGTTGCTTCCATAGGCTTCATACAAAAGAAAGTTTCCAGACTGGAATTGTGAAAATAAGGAACAAAGTCTAGCAATAGATGTTTTGACGTAATTGAAGGAAAAGCACAATGGAAAAAACTCAAATTTCCACATTGATGCCTATCAGCATAATGTTAAAATTTATTTGATTAAATTTAAATAAAATTCATAATTTTTGGTATGCAAAATCACTACTGAAATAAACACAAATTTGAGAAAACATAAAATTTTAGTAACGAGCAGATGAATTGTCGTGGAAATTAAATTTTCTATATTATATATCCTGAAATAATGTTTTTTTTGCAATTGAAACAAGAGCTCTGCTTTTTTAAATTGATTGTCTAGCTTGAATGAAAAAAAAACGAGCTATTGATTATTTCCAGCATTTGAAGAGACTAGACTGCTATATACTTCTTCAGAGACGCCCTTCATCCCCATCCGCACTATTATAAATCGCAATCAAAAGGGTTCCCACTGACAAGTGCAATTGATACCAAAGTAATTGGCTTTTTGTGCTGATAATCCTGATATATTTCCCAGCCGCAAGAAAAATGACTCGCAGACACGGATACGCTTTTAAGGACGAGATAAATCCGGCCGTATGCTCCGTGACGGGGTAAAAAATGATCGTGCCCACTGCGTTTTCCCATCATTTTTCTCCCTTTGTCTTTAGCGCACATCGTCGGATTCAAATCTGTTGCACGAGTGACGTTTATTGCCTACAAAAATTCCCTCTCCAGCGGAGGGATTTTTTTTTACAGAAACGCTTTTTCAGAGAAGAGGGATGCATCGTCGGACCGTGTTGTTTGCTTCAGCGTGGGTATGCAGACCGGCACAGCACTTAAAACGCACCGGTTGCATAACTTTGTTTTTCCAGGCACCATGCCGCCTTCAACAAAAAGCGCTTGTTTTGTTTTGCTGTTGCTAATGCAATAAATTTAAACTCACAACATGTGCGTCGCAAACAAAACATAAAATATTTTTTCTGCAGCAACGCAAAATTATTCTTTGCTAAAAAAAAAAATCTCTGGAGAAAAATTTAAAAACTTTCCAATTTGTTCATAAATAGGTCCGTTTTTTGGCCCCTTTAAATAATAATTTGATTATTTTATCGCGATATAAAACGAAATTAATTCCCCGCACAAATTAGTAGAATTTCCGCACCCCTTCATACGCCACTTGCGCCGATGAAATATGAGAGACGTCGTTCAGTTCCCATTCATAAATTCAGCCGCAAGTGTTCTGTACACGACGACTTCATTAATAAGACCGCAATAATTCACAGCGGGCCGCGAGAGCGAGTTTTCCCTCCTAGTGTAAAACGTCTCTTATAAATTAATAATTATTTTGAAGCCCCCGAGCTGCCGGTTCGACTTCCTCGCACGCCATATTCGTGATGCACCCCATTGTCCTAAATTCCACCTCCATTAACCGGCAACCCCTCGGCCTGTCGGCTCATGCTGGAACTGAATATTCATGCCACTGTTGCAGTGTAAGCAGCTCTCCGCGCGTTTTCATATTCCGTGACCGCCGCACAGATGAATAATGCACCAGTACTTATAGAAATTACTCCGCAAGCGGTTATTCCTTTTTTAAGAAGGACTGACCCCTCGACCAGCTTAATTGAAATGCAAATAAAGGGGTTTGTTTAATTAATTTAGCTAAAATTTATTGTTTAAAAATCCCTTTCATAAGATGTAAAACCTGAAAATCCTACAAATTATTTCTTCATAATTAACAAACATTTGAAATATTAAATGTATATAAAATTACTGCTTATAATTTTGATATGGATGTAGTCGTTTTATTTGTTTCAGAAACCACATAAAGCTCTATCCATAATTCATTACTCAATAAATTGTTTTTAACAATAATTATGGAGAATTTGATCACATCAATCGTTGCTTAATGGACTTTTCATCACAATTTTATGTAAATTTTCTAAACCTTATTATTACTTAATTTTAATATAAATTTTACGCCACATATCCAAATACAGCAGGGTGTTTTATTTAACATGTATATTTATAACGCATTTAAAATTTAATTTGACTACAATCAAGAAAATATAATTATTTCAAATGAATGAATATTTTTAATTATTTTTACTTTACAACACATAAAAATCTATTGATCTAGTGATCTATTGAAGCAAACAAAAAATGTGTCAAAAATAAAATTAATTAAGATAACTGATTAAAAACAAAAAAAGTACCAATTTAATATTATAATACATTTAATTAGTTAAATAATTAAAAGTAATTATAACTGGTTTAAATTGCAGATTTTGTTTCTTAGTTTTATACTTAACGCGTTCAGGAGCGAATTTAAAATCTTATCACAGAACTTGCATTTTTAGTTATACGTCAGCGCCATTAGATGTGTTCAGTGACGCGAAAGCGGGTGCCCAACTGTGTCCGCCTCGCACCTTTAGGGTCAGCAAAACACACACGGTGCGTCCGCATGCGAAAGCGGAAAGCTGTTTGCCCAAGTAAGCGACTGACATTATGGAATCCTGGCCGAGTGAGTAACTGTTTGTCCACTAGTGGTGTGTGCGCACCGTTGTTTGCTTTGGAGAAAAGGCCCTCATATTGCATGTACGCACTCCTATTCGCACCAAGTAATGTCCAGGGTGTGGTGCGCCCGTCGCATTAAGGGGGCGAGAATGGCCAAAGTGCTTGAGAGGTGAGTCAGGAAACTTCCAGCTTAAATGAGTTTAGATTTATTTAATATAAAGATCAACTCAAAATCTCGCTGTTAGAAAATTATTTACAATAAAAAAAGAACTTAAATTTACCTTTTTATGTCAACTATTTTGTGATAAAAAAATTTCACCTGATAATACTAACAACGAAAATCATCTATTTAAATGAGTTTGTTCAGAGAACATGAGATGGAGTGAGATATTTTTGATGCATCGAAATTTTTTATGCCCCGTGATGGTAAAAATGTTCCCAAAAAATAAAAAATAAAAAAATAAAAATTCACCAAACAACAGCCAAAAACATTTTTGCAAAATAACCTATTTTTTGTGATGTTTATCAAATTTAATTGTTATATTGACGACCTAAATACAACCTTATTTCTTACTTAACAAATTTTCCTCAATCATAATCCATTGAATCATATTTTTTATAGTCTTTAAAAACATCAAGCAAAATTCAACTGCTTTCCAATTATTTACAATGGTGCTTTGCTCCTTCAAGGAAGCTTGAAAGTCTGGAAAGTTCATAAACCTGTTTGGAACAGCTCTTTGACTCGCTAATACTTTGTTCCAGCATCGACTAGAGCCTCTCCACAAAAATAGACTCATCGTCTAATCCTACTTTCGAACCGTCGGAGAGAGCAATCGAAACTCGGAGCGAAAACTCGACGCTAACCGGATTCTGCATTCAGCGAAAAGGTATGGCGGCTGAATTTCGCATCATCTTCCCACACCGAACCGACTCTCACACA